GTTATCTGATACTGATGACTATAATCTAAAAATGGATCAGTAACTTGTGCTAAAGCATTTCAAGTAAATAAAAACATTGTCAACACTGAATTCACTACTACGTGTACTTAAAGCAAGTATCACATATTTGGTCCAAGTTTATTCTTTACATTAATCAGTTTCTTTTATTTTCATCTTATCTATCAAGTGATATGATAATCTTTTATTCGCTGTTATTGATTAAAATATCTGACAAAACAAAAGATAAACAAATACCACAATACAGCTGACGTCAAAGATTTTCAGGTACTGCGGTCGTATCAAAGAACCTTTTAATGGTTTAATCAGTTTATGATGAGGATTTTACTTCCCATTTAGATAAAACTCCATCTGCAGTATTACTCCTAACCAGAAGGTTCATTCTTCATTAAATATACAAAACGTTAGGAACCGAGCTTCTCAGGCTATTCAAATGAAAGGCGACTGAGGGATCCAGATCTCATCCCTTTGTATTTTCATATACCTAGAGGTGGTCATATTTCAGCATTCCGCAACTTAAGTAGTGAATTGTGTGCTAAAATGACTTGCTTATTGGTTTCCTTTTGAGAACAGTCCTCCGAAGCTATTTCTAAACGTTTCAATAAGCCACGATCGAATGAAATTCATTTTGTTAAGAAATGACGTGAGTGGGGATAGTTTAAGGGTCGTGAGTGTATACTTCTGAAAAATCCCATGCTGAAAAAAAAACACCCAAGCAGTGGTATCTGGTTATCACTGAATCCCTATGATGTAAACCCTAAACTTCGTATTTCAAATTACTTCACTAACCATTAGATCTCACAACCAAAAAAACAGTATTAGCTAACTCAGTGAACGCCTACAAGAAAGCGGGTATTCTAAGAATATCAAATAACCTACTATCCCTGTTTCTAAAGAATAAACTTCTTTTTATATAAATTAAACAGTTGGAGTATTAGACCTTTGTTAAATTTCTGAGGCAAATCATAATGAACAATAAATTTCAAAGATGAGTAGTTACTTCACTAGTGACATAAGTGACTCCACTGGTGATGGTTTTTCATTATAACTTTGGAAGTTAATCTTGAAGTTAGTCACTAGCTGCATATAATTATTAGAGTTGTACTATGTAGAGATCCGTCTAATATTTTAATTTGAAGTTTAACTTTCTTTATCACTGAAATGCAGTATACATCTGTACATGTCTGTAATGCGGTTTTTTTTAAACCATCTATTTGTTTAAGTAATGTCTATTTGACTGTTAAATATGTAAAATCCACAATTATAATGTATAAGAAAGAGATCGCTTTGTGCGGCCTATAAAACGTACCCTATATGACCATGTAAATTTATAGAAACACATTGATGTGGCCCAAAGTGGAAGTTTATCCTTAACACATCCAAGAATGGTAGGCGAGTTTGAGAAAACAATTCGGAACTTAGGTGTTTTATTCAACAATTTCGAAATCCATTTATTTAAGATTTCAGAACACTATCCGGTTTGACTTTTAAAAGGTGAATATAAGAAAGAATTCTATTTTCAAATTTATATACTGATTTTTGTTAAAATAACTTTTAGAATATACTTACATTGTATGAATTAATTTAATATGTATATTGTTTATTTAAATTTTCAGTGCATTTTTATTGTGTTAGTAAATTAAATGATTTTGCTTTATGGTAAAATTAATTTGGTTTGCCAAATTCATTAACTAATCATCAATGAAATTAATTGTGATATAATTCAATGCACTCAAATGTGAATTAACTCTTGTTAGATCTTAATCATAAAACTTTTTTGTTGTTGACAAGTTTGAACTTTTTAGTTAATGAATAGGGATAAAGAAGATAGAAGTTTCATGAATTCTCTATTCAATTTGGTATTGTGAATTAATAACTTGAGGGAAAATTCTATCACCTTATTACTAAATACAAATTACTTTTTATATAATGTAATTTCAGATAAATCATGACTAAACCATCCAGCTTAGAGAACAAAACTCCATCAAGATAAATCTAAGAAATAGACAATTAGGAAAAGGCAATGAAAATGGATAGGACATACATTACGTAAATCATCAAACTGCATCACGAGGCAAGGCCTAACTTGGAATGCTGAAGGGAAACGGGAAAGAGGAAGACCGAAGAACACATTACGTCGGATAATAGCAGATATGAAAACGATGAATTGATCAGGACAGGGTTGGATAAAGAATGATGGTGAGCGGCCTACGCTCCTTCACGAGGAGTAGTAGAGTTAAGATGATAGGAACAAGTGAAAATACTGATTTTCAAGAATATATTTCTAATTTCCTAAGTGCTATCTGGAACTATTAGAATAGCATATGTTTAAAAACGATTTATTGATTCCTTTAATCTATTTAGTTATTTATAAATACCTTTCACTAAAGTTTTTCAGTATAACAATCATTGAATATTAATAACTAAATATAATGAATTCCAACTTCAATATAAGTTACCATCCTTAATTAAGATTTTTTTAAACTATCAATAGTATCAGTTTGTTTAAAGATAGAGTATACAAAACTTAACATGATACGATTAGCAAATGTTTTTTGTAAAATCAACTCGGATAAAGTGATGACGAAATAATAGAACTTTACACAGACGTTATTCTTAAATGTAAATGAATTGTAGAATGTATAGATAAATTATTCAGCATAAAACCATGGAAACCGATTATCAGAACATAAGTGTATTTATTTATCTGTTATCATTGATAAGCTATCCAATCGACAACCGTACATCAAAATGTAAATCAGTAATTAAACATATATCCGTACTCTGATTCCTAGATTACACACGAAGGCTAGAGATGTTGATGGTTGAGTAAATGCGTAAACCGGTATCACGAAGCTTGGTTTAATACTCATTTTTCCTGTCTCCTTGCTTTTTCAGTCCTTATTTTCTTTCTCTACCAAAAATATCCAAAATTTAAACAGGTTTTTTAATATATTCTTATCGTAGAGAGAAACTCAGAAAGTTTGTGAGGTTTGAATAGGTGAAACAATAAGAGCTGTTAGTCGTGAATAATAGCGCCCCAAGGACCAGTTATGGAAATTCTAAAGTTGGATGTTTTAGATTTGTCTAACAGGAAATTAAGTTAAACCAATATCGATACTCATTAGCATAGCGTACTAATGTAACTGAAATACTAGTTGGACATCATTGTTTTCATTTGGATTTGACCAATAACCAATTACAAGAACATGCCCCTGATTGGAGTCCTATATCTTATGAAAGGCCTACTGATACTACTCATATTGAGGTGGAACTTGGAACCCAATGGTGGAAAACTAATTGCTTTCACCAGTAAGCCACCAACCAATAGGATATCGACACAATTCTATTTTATTCAATATTGTACAAATAAACGAAGATCACAAGAAACCCCGACTACTACTGATAGTCCTCAAATGTTATAGTTATATTATTGACTCAATAGTGAAGTACACTAATTAATGATTATTACGGGTGAAATGAAACACTTTTAAACTAGCAAGACGAAGATGCTGTAAACCTGATGGCCTAATAGTCAGCTAAGCTTGTTCACTACAGTAATACACAGATACTTCCCTAGATATTTGATCAGATGTAGTTTTAGCTGTTTTTGTTATACGCTAATATTCCGTACATTGAGATAAAAACATGTCGCTCCATGACAGTTGAGTTAGTTTTTTTCAATACACCCTTTACGTTTGTATTTCAGAATAACCCAGTTTTCCATATATGTAGTTTGAATACCAACTTCAGCTATAAAAATTAATCCATATATCCTATACAAAAATAATTGAGTGCATTTGTCGCCACACTGATGTCGTTAGTTGCCAAAACAGGTAATAATTTTCTCCGTGATTATGGAATTTTCAGATTCTAAAGCCCTGTCTTAGATAGATCGGCATTAAAAACCAAGAAACAATCGACAGCTGTTTAATCCTGATATGGAGCTCTACAGCAGTGCGTGTCTGGGAATCTAACCCCAACGTTCGATCTTGCACGCAAATGTCTACCCATTAGGTCACTGATAGAGCTGACCAAAAATGGATTATTTTTACATTAGGGTCTAACAATAAATTATCATCATTAATCCTGAGACGTTTCGGATAATTAATTGAGCATCTTTCCATCCAACTCAGTCATTAAGCAGAAAAAGCCAACAGGTAATAAGAATACCTACTAACCCTTTCAATACGTGCTCGTTTACACTACGTACCAAAAGCTTCCCTTAGTAACCATTATCAATGATAACCAGAGTAACATCAGTAATAGATTTTTAAATCAATTTCAACAGTGAATAATTGTGACAATAAAATTTATGTGAAAAGAAAGTATTGCCTTAAGCATGGATTACGACAAAAATATTGTCTTATTATTAATAATCAGAAAATGTATAAAAATGCAAAATAATGACGTTATGAATATATATCTTGATAACTGATATACCATGGTGAGTATAACAAAATGGATGAATGAGAACAAATATAATGTGATTCTAGAGATACATTTAAATGTCATAAATAATTTTAATCACAACAGATAGGCAGAGTGGTTTTTAAATGATGTTTTTTCTGGAACCAAATAGCTGAATGAATAGTAAGTTAGAGGAAGTTTAAATTATATATAAACGATGAAAGGATAACCACTAGTTTGGATGAAAATCAACATGGATACCAGAAAGATAATCAACTCAGATGAATATATATATATTTTTGTCGAGCACTAAAACATAATACGCTAAGAAAAAGAATTTATTTCTCCAATCCTACCGGGTACTAAGACATTTTGTATTGTTAAAAAAGACGCACAATCTCAAAACACAAAATGCACCAAACATAGATAATAGATGCAAAGTGTAGAAAACGTTAAACGAAGTAAAGGAAGTACAATGCAGCTAACAATGAATTGATAATTTATCAAGTCAAATGAACCATATATGTATTGTCAAGCGTACTTCTTATCCCACACACGATCATAATTACTTGCTATTGTTTTTCTGTCACATTAATGAGTGGAGCTATCTCTTGGTTACCCAGTGAGTTCAAATAACCATTCAGGTAATTAACATCACTTGGTAAAAATTTATGATATTCATTATTACCACTACCATTACTGCTATTATTATTCTGAAAATCATCATTACAAGTTTCTTCCTTATTTAATTGATCTTCAGAGAAAGCATTCTCTGAATAATGATTATTGTTTATACTATTTTTCAATGTATGATCATTACAGATTTCAGAGTTTGTAGGATAATCTTTTACTTCAGTAACTCTCACTGTACCAGCTTCGCGTTTGCGTTTTAATAATTTATATACACATAATAAAATAGTTATAATAAATATCGAAATCAATAGTATAAGTGATAACCAAAACGTGTTGACGTATGCAGACAGCAGCATAGTAACCGGTTGTTCAGAAGTTTTTTTCCGATAACCAACAAATTCTAATAAACTTGTATTCTCAAATTGATTTAAAACATCATTTAGCATTCGATATTCGTTTTCAATCTGAAACTTTGTATGTGGAAAGCTCATAGGAGGTGTAGATGAACAATTTTGCTCATCCGAACCACTTATCGGACAATTCAACACTTTATCGCACCATAATCGCATGGGTAAACAGATACGATAAGGCCATTGCAAAGGAGAGTTGCGACGTTCATTTATTTTATCAAATGTATCACAAGCAAAAAATCCCGATGGACAAGTAAAAACACCTGGTGGTAAACGATCTAAATTATAATGGGAAATAACAGAAGTAACAGAATTGATACCAAAATAATTATAATTCAACTAATCGATAGTACGACCACAAATACAACAATAAATATAGTAGGTATAGAGTAGTAATGTTATTTAATATGACTTATATTATTTTGTTATGAGGATCTTAAATTACATCTAATCTCAATTACTGTACGTTAACTAATTTCTGTGGACAGTATTTTAGGTACAGTGATTTGAAGGTGAAGATAACTAGATTTTATGATAAGAATAAAAAGTATTGCTTCATTTCACACAACCAGTCATCAATCAGTCTAAGCAACATAAAACTTGGCAAAAATATGCATCCACCAACACCGCATATCATTACAGTGATAAACAACAAGATGAAAAGCAAATAAGAAGAAATATCATCTTCAATGGGAAGCTAAGCACAAAGTATTTAGTTCTAAAGGAAAAAGTGATGTCATGTAACGAAAAGTATGAAAAAATTATTAACTCATGATTTAGAGGAAAGTTAAAAATGAATAAAGCTACACCAGTGTGATTAGTTTTAAGCGAAGCCACTAAGCGGCTTAGATCGTAAATCACAATTATCCCACATGTCCCACTTAAATGGGGTATTTGTAACAACTGAAGTATCTTAGATAAATATCCAGTAACCATATGAAAAGATACCATAACTTGATCTGCCTGGTCTTAGCTCTTCATGAACGTCAATTGTATAGCTGATTCATATGACTATCAGTCATACATGGTCGCTTAACAAATCTTACACTGATACAATGGTTCAAACACCATACCACAGTGAGAGGAAATTTATACTAGCAAAGAATCATTCCCATCTCCATTATGATTTGTTTCCATATCTAAACTAAAGAAAAATGAGTCAAGTAAACTCGTTCTAGAGGGTGTAGCCATAACTTTTCGGGAAAACCTGAAGATAATTAAAGTTTAGCTACCTATCACAGTTGAACCGATTTCAAGACTCCCTGGCTCCAATTATTAAACACAACTCTTGGCTTGTAGTACGAACAGCACAAAAATTACCAAAAATAGGACTGTAGGAAATTTTTATTTGAGGTAAAGAACAAGATGTTGGATAGATCAGACCAAATAAACTTACAGGGTTGCTATTGGATGACAGAGTGACTGAGTGTAATTTAATCAATCGGCTTTATAAAATAGCCAACAGTGATTAATGGAGACTAGGACCAAATCGTTTTGGATGCTCTTCTCTAAGAAAGCAGTGGGACAGTATACACACGAGTTTAAAAACCTGAATGACTGACTATGAAGCCACACAAAATGTTTGCTGTTTATAAAATAGCATTATATCTTGACATTGCAGAAAAACCACCTGTAAATAGATTTTTTCGTGCAAAGGGATTAGTTCAAATAGAGCTTGAAAGCCAAACGATTTCTAACTTACAACCAGAGGTGACAATTATATGCATGCTGTTGTTATGTACACCCGGATATTCACCAACATTGTTAACTGAAACTTTCAGACCAGTAGAAAGTGGGAACATGAAGAAATAAGGGTCACTGATTTCATCTTTGCAACTCCCGCTAACCTTAAAAATAAATAGAGATGTAATTAGCATTTGCAGTGACTAAAATTAAATTAAAAAACCTTCATAATGCCATATAATTGTAGTCTATATGCTTTGTCAAATAGTTTCCACTTACTATCTTTACAAAGGAATTTTACAATAATTGAGAGGGGGATAGCATCTCATGAGTTGTAAAACATTGTTTTTAATGCTTCCAAACACCTTATTTGCTTTCAATACTTACTCAAAATGTTGAGTACAACAGTTTTAGGGTGATCCAGAAAATTTCTCGCAAAAGACAAGGATCAGGAAACACTAAGAAGTGTTTCATCCAATCCGCGTTCAATCAATGTTTTAGCCAGAAATATCAGGGAAGTAAAACGTCACATGTAGAGATTCTGATTGGCTGATTGCTATACTGCTACTATGTTTAGTAGCATTTCAGAATCTTCGAGCAACCCCAGGACATTTAAAATATTATAAAAACCCTATATTTTCTGTATTGAAATGAACCTTGGAGTGAAGTACTTCTCGCATACTTTGCGTCTTCTCTCTCGTGTTCAAGTCGCTGTACAGTTCTAGTTTGGGGGTTACAGAGTAGCTTAGGAAACGAATATAGCGTTCAATTTGCAAGAATCATCAAACAGGACTGTAAAAAATATGCCGTATAACAATTTTGTGGACAAATTAAAGTTGGACGGTTATCTAGAAGACAAAGAACGGAGGTCAAAGGCATTAACGAAGCAAAAAAACATGAAGATGGAATTAATCTAAATTGATTCAACCTGCTATTTATGGAGAATGAAACAAGAAACAGTAGGATTGACAACGATCTATATTCTGTACTACTTTTGATGATGCCTAGAGCCTCCAAGTTGAGTGATTCCTTGGGTCCATCCGGCGAACTATAATGGAAAGGCGAGTGCCAATTCAACACAAATTTCTTCTTTCATAGAATTTATTTATTTAAACATATAAACATCAGTACAAGGAGGCACCAAATAGACATGAGCCACATAAATCACTCGATTTGTGAGAGGGCTGGAATAGTGCCCAGATGCCCGAACCGAAACAGAAATACACGAAAATTATCTCTTCACCTATTGTACCTATTCCAAAAGTCGGAAAACAATACGCCGCACGAAGGCTAGTATCTTAGCGTATTAGTATTGGTCATATCATCTCCCCTAACTTGAACACACTACCAAGCCTTAGCATTACTTATACAGTGTTCCAACAGAATGATAATGTTCTAGTATGACGATGTATTTGTTTGCGTCTTACTAGAATCAGAAAGCCACAACAAGAATATCACATAGAGTTTAACATAATGATATAAAAGTCAATACCAACCGACCTGAATAGAATTTGAACATAACCACCCCGACTATAAAAGTAGGAAAAGCCACAGCTAATCTAAAGTGAAGGAGAGTAGTAGGCTCTTATGGACTGACTACAAAGATCTTTAAGGATGGTTATTCAGTTTTAATTGTTAAACTGACTGAGATGTTAGATAGAGCCTGGGAACTTGGCTGAATCCCATCTAATTTGTTTTGATCACTAATCGCTTCGGTCTACAAAAAAAGACGAAAATCCTCTTGTGATAGATGCAGAGGAATCGATTTGATTAACAGGCTTTCAAATATTAGCCACAATAATTATAGAACGCTTAAAGAGGGCACGTGAAGTATAAACACGGGAAAACTAGGCTAATTTCCGGCGTTTATCGAGGACAATTCTTCAGAGATAACACCCATAGTTTAACCAATCAGCAGCCAACCTGCCAGATTCTCTTGTTGACTTAAAATATCCGGCTGGTATGGTTTCGTTTGGTGGAGACACCGAAAGGAATTCAGTATTCTGATCTCCTTGGGCAACGATGATGGTTGAGATGTGTTTCTCTCCATCAGGACGTAAATTTTACCACAATACACGAATTCATCTATGTGAGCATATAAACATTGATACAAGGGGGTTGCGAAGAGATAGAGAAAAAAGGTGGGTATAATTAAAAGAGAACAAAAATGAACAGAAATTAGTGGATGATGATAATAGTAATAATAATAATAATAATAATAATAATAATAATAATAATAATAATAATAATAATAATATAAATAATAACAATAATAATAATAATAATAATAATAGTAATAAAGGAGGGACAGTCCAGTTAAGAAAACAACCAGAAAGGATCAATTCACATAAAGAAGTAACCCTCACTTTTACACAGAAAACAAAATAATGTGAAAACAGGACCAACACTGGTTCTATTATGATCCATAGGTTGATCTAAATTCTGAAGATTCATTGCTAATGATCTCGAAATCTTAGATAGCTCACAAACATGTAAAATGATAATCTACAAAGGCAAAAGATTATCATTAAGTATCCAGTCAACTGTCTTGAACAGATCTTCAAGCTTTTGATAACTGGTATTGCACATTAAATACATGATGTGTTTAGAAATACAAAACATTGATCAAAATCAATTTCAAAACCATAAGAATTTGATAAAAATGAAGCTAGCGATAAGTTCTAATGATAGCAAAAACACAAATAAAGCATGAATAAATATGTCTGTTTCATTAACACACTACTTTAATACAACTAAACACAAAAACATTTCTAATCAAATTGATTTAGTACATTATTTAAAGGGTCGGTCAACAGATACCGCATAACTCGGAATTCAAAATATGTGAAGTACACTAGGGAATGTAATTCTAGAAGTTAAAATAGAAGAAATATTTTAAATAAACAGTTATAATGTAAACGCTATTAAATTTTATGTAGATTTAAATCTAGGTCATTTTAGTTCTCTAAAGCACGATCCATTGACAATACAACTGAGACAAAACAGCTTATTCAAGTCATCCCCATACAACTTTTTTCATATCACGACACCATGTCATACACTGACCACCTCTCTGATTTTTCCAACAACTCCCAGTGTCCGCAAATAATCAACCATGGGAAATTCGTTGGCATGACATTCGTATTAAATATCTAAACAAACCAAGACAGTGTTCCAAGATGTTCACACCAATGGCATTATCCTCACTGTGTCTGAACACACGTTCCAGAACCTCTAACATTAATGAAATCGTGTTGCCACTGAATGTTACAAATACTTCCCAGACAACGATGATCAAACACAGAGAGTCACTTAACATCCTCAACTCGGTCAGTTCAGGATTAGAAAGCACATAGCACAACTACTCTAATCCACGTGTCGTAGATCCAACCCTTTACACCCGGGATAACAAAACAAAAGCACCAAAGACTGCACACGTCGAAATAACACAAACGAACTTCTATTATACGTGAATTGGTCTCACTACTCACGCTACCACCAGCATTTACACAGATACACAGACACAGACACTAACAACAGTGAGTGAAGGGACAGGCTTCTGCCAGTCTTCTAATAGTACTTTGCACTCAGAAGGTGCAAAATAAATCCCATACCCATAGATGCTGACTGCCAACTGATTGAGTACGCATTGCATGGCTTGGATATCGTCTCAAAGTAAGACAATATCATCCGTATACCCAAAGCCGAAACGTTTTTCGCCAGGCAACAGACCGACATCGCCATTACTTGTATCCATCAGAGCTGTTTCCAGAATGTCATTAATGACAAAGTTGAAGAAAGATGGTAAGATTGGGCAACCCACTGTTTAAATGAAGCAATGGAGAGAGGTGGTTGTAGGCCCTCGCTCTGCCTGATGTGTCTGTAAATGGGGCCTTCAAGATGTTAATGATAGCTACAACTCGGAAAAGTTGTAATCGCCCCGGTACGGTCGAAGGTGGGGAGTCTACCCTCCCTCTCGAAATGCTCTCACATGGCCACGCGCATAAAGCCACAGTCAGGGAAGTCCTACACACTGCCTTCTCGCGACGGGGGTGTTGCTTACGAAATGTAAAGGACGAAAAGCGAATGCCCGGCGCTCTAACTGGTTTGGTGGATATGGAGGATCCACGTAGGGGAGTTGGAAAACCCTGCTTCCAAACCAATGGTTCACATGGCCTCCAAAATCCCGAGTGGAGTATGACTCAATTATTGGTCACCGGCTACCATGGGACTGCATCTCCTTACGTTGGTCCATTGCCTTGTGGATCAGATTTTTAGGTCGAAGGCTCCGGGTGTGGCCCCCCTAAGAAAACCACTCGCTTCAGTTTGGGCATCCGGGCAGTATCACAGCCCACACACAAATCAAGTGGCTTGTGTGGTGCATATGTATTCGGTGCCCCTTTGTACTAATATTTATGTATTCAAATAAATAATCAATTCTAATAAGTAATACACAAGAGCCAGCAGCAGGGTGCGCAGTAGTTGAATACATTGATAACTTCAATTATATTGGAAGCGTCATCAGCCCTGGTGGGTTAATGTCCAACGAAATCTCAACACATACTCAGAATCCTTGGTTGGCGTTTGCCAATTTGCGTCAGTTAGTGTAGATAAGATATCCATTTTCCAACTAAAGGACGAATATAGTGTGCAGAAATTCATTCTTCTACTTTGCAGCTGCGAAACGTGACCTTTAAAAATAGATATTAGTAGATTACTAGTATTCGATCAAAGGTGTCTTCAAAGTATTGCTAGTATATTTTGGGATCACCAGGTTAGGAATTTTGAGGTCAGATGCAAAGTACTACATAAGTATGGCAAGTCGATAGAGAAGGTGGTTAATCTTCATCAATTGAGGTGGTTGGGACATGGATCACGTATACCCGTTCACCGACTACCTCGATGGCCGACAATGACTCGTGTATAACGATATTGGAAGTATGCTAAGGGTGTCCAAATCAAGAAATGACATCGATCCATGAAGACACTGACTGTTAGACTGAGATATTCAGGTAGGCACTGTTATGTTTGAAGCGATTACGAGTTCACCAAGTCTGCGAACAAAACAAAGACTCTGTGACCAAAGACCAATAAGCTAGCTATTCTGATGCGACTCAGCCCCACTAACTAGAGAGAAGTCCAAGTTCGAAACGGAGAAATATATTCCGCAAGCAACCAAACGTATGTATACAGTATAAAACTGTCCTTGGGAAGCGTTACAAAATAACATACTAAAGGATACAACGAACCAATAGCGTTTAAGATTCTCCCAAGTGGGAAATACGACATGAAGATGAAAAGAGCGCTTTCGGCGCGAAAACAAAGAAATTCAAACTTTCAAAATAAATTTACAAAATTAAGGTGTTTACTAAGTGAGTTCTGGGAATCTAACATCCTCAACACCTCCCCTTTTTAATAACGCACGTTCCTGGGGTCCATTTGCATCTTGGCTGTCTGTCGCCGCTGTCGGAGTGACCAAACAATATCTTCAATGCTCGTTCTTTCTAATTACCACCAATAGTATTATTGCTTCTATTACTCTGGTATTTGCTCTGACAATTTTATCTCATGTTGATGGGGTACAGCAACTTCAATTAATGTACACATATGCTAGGTTATACGTTGAGCATGATCGAATGACTGAAGAGAATGAGAACAACCATTCAGACAATTATGACCAAATAAAGGAGATCGTTGAACAGCTCGTGGTCGTAGTGTCCAGGTTTCCCAAACACAGAACCGGCACCAGTGGGGTGTCATACTAATAGACTTTACGACCAAACTGAAATTGCGACGATCCTAAAGATGGCTTGGATTAGTATAGACTCATTTGGTTTTCGCGATATGTAAATTGAATTCATTTGTCACACCGCCATCAACACCAACACAGGTAACTACCAAAATACACGAGCTTCTCAACTATTTGTGATGATTAGATACCAAGGGTAAGGTTAGGTACAGATCCAAATCAACCTTTTAGTAGCGCTTTACATTTCGGTGGTAAAAAATTCACACCACAATTAAGCATTTAATCGACAACTGGTCGGAAGCAATTTGACTGACCATATTATCGTACAGTTTGATCTTTTGTGAAGACTTGAGTGTAGAATCCTGAGAAGTCCAAAACTAGTACAGAATAACCAATGCTTTGCGATTAACAATCGCCCTCTAGCTGACTGACTTCACTGCAACCAAGTCCGAAACAACTTCAGTTATGGCTCTGAACGTCCGTATAAAAATCAACATTCTTGCAGAAGTAGGATAATAAGAAAGAATGTCAAAACTAACCGGAGTCAGTCAGCCAGTCAGCTACAACGTAAGATCAGGTACATATATGTATCGGTCCAAGTTGTTATACCTCATTAGCACAACAACATCAACACTAAATTCATAGAGGTAGTTACTTCAATGGTAGTAATATATAAAAGAAAGATTGTGTATAAGGATATAATACAGGAACAAAGAACCGGTTCGTAGAAAAAAATGTATAAAGTAATTTTAATCTCAAGGTTTAAAGGAAGACAAAGAGTGTATACACCGACGCCAATGTGATCGATTATGAGCCTTGTCACCCACAGTCTCCAAACACTGATTACGATAGTCACGCAGACCACTAGCAAGTAGTCCGCATCTTCTAACATGGCTCAGACCAAAAGTAAGTTACTTCAATGACTGATGCCACCTTTTGGTTTGGCTACCCCTAACTTTCTTCCAGCCATCTTCAATACTAGTCAGTACTATGCGTCGTGGTATACGCTGCTCAGGCATACGTGACACGTGGCCCAACCATCTCACTCGATGAAGATTTACAATCTCATCAACTCATTTACCATCATTCCCTAATAGTTTGTCTAACCTCATTATTACTTACCTGGTGATCCCAGCACATGCGAGTAATATTTCCAAAACATCTGTGATCAAATACTAGTAACTTACGAGTGTCTTCTACTTCTAATGGTCACGTTTCGCAGCCGTAAAGCAGAATAGAACGAACTGCTGCACAGTACATTCGCCCCTTAATTGATAGACGAATATCTCGCCTTCGTCATAGGTGCTGACGTAAGTTGGCAAGAGTCAAACGAGCTTTCTGAGTCAGTGCAGAGATTTTGTCAGACACCAACCCATTAGAGCTGATCAAACTTCCAAGATAAGTGAAGTTGTCAACGCGTTCGACTACTTCACTCCATCCTCAGTTCAGGTGTTGACGCAGACCAGTCCTGAAGCGACAACTTGCATTTAGAAGGGGACAAACGCATCCCAAACATTCTGGCATTATTGCTCAGTGCTACCAAAAGACTCTGCATTTTATCAGAGTCTTCACCAAACAGGACTATGTCATCTGCGTATTCGAAGTCGAAATTCAGTGGACGACAACATTGTTTCCATCAGTACGTCTGTGACGAAGTTGGACAAAACTGGAGATAGTGGACAGCCTTGCCGGACATCATATGAGGTTACAAAATCAGATGACAGTTCGACATAAGCTCTGATTCGACTGGTGGTGTTCGAGTAAATAGCCTTCACAAGGTTTATGTACTTCTGAGGTACACCTTTAAATGAACTCAGAAGTACATAAACCTTGTGAAGGCTAACCGAAAATCAGAATTCCGGAAAAAAAGAAATGTATTTATTTTGACAAGTGGACAATCTTTTAATCTTGTTATGAAATAATGGACAGGTGGAGTGATGGGTTAGTAGTTAAGACACTAGTCCTTCAACAAGTCTGAAGTACGAACCTAGCTCCACTTACCGCAGTTTGAGGCAACGGATGGTACCATTAACCAACAAAAAGTGACTTGAAGTTCAATAAACAAACATGTACTAGACAAAGGAATTATATGAAAACGATAAACAATAGGATAATGGTTCTATTAACTTACTTCACCTAAGTCAGTGTGACAAGTCGTACTATTGTGTCCATTATTAGGAATCGCACATACATATACTTCAGGACAGGTGGGTTCTGACGAAAAATAGAGGCGATGTGTTGCGAAAATAAGGATGGATCTGTCGTTCCAAATGGAAAGATCAGGTAGGATGTTTAGGTTCGTGTAATCTATTATTGAAACATTTGTGGAATTATTATACGGGAGTAGTTCATAAGGAAACTGAAGATCAATAGGTGAATTTACACTGAGGATACTGTCAGTAGTATCTAAAACATCATGCATAGGCGTCAAGAAATTGTAAATACATGAAAGATGTGATATCGTAGGAGAAATAATGATTTCTAGTGATAAGTGCCTTTCCGATGTTGATGGACAAGAATTCTGTACGACGAGTGTATCTACAAAGTAAAAAACCAAATATACTGAGTGCAGAAAAATACACCGAGATCAAATCGTTTTGAGAATATTGTTAATGAGCATCCACATCCCAACGCAGTCAGAAATTTAGCACAGAGTATAACAAAATAAAGGTGGAAATAAAATCACTGTCTACCGGACCACCTAAACAGTACCCCAATACTGTTTCCGCATCTAACTTCCTGTTGAGACAGCAGACGATCAAACATATGTAGTGGTCAATAAATCCCTAAAATAAATAGTTCTGTAGGTCTTCGACATTTGATGTTGACCTGATTAGTTTTGATGAACACATCTAGCTGAGGCTGTTCGGTTACGCATCCGCACCAAATCACGAGTGGGTACGCCGTGCCACTCACCCCTTACAACCGATAACCAGCTTATACTAAATGCTTCCCGATATGTTGATTGCCTTCCCAATATATCTTCGAACCTCTTCGTTTTCTGACTTCTGTTTCGACTAGGCTGTCATACTTTTGTGGCCCGTGGATCTGACTCCTATTTAGATCGTACGAATGTTTGTTATCGCCTATTCTCGTATATAATCGTCGACTTAAATCACGTTATCCAATAACGGAATTAAATAAGTCGAATAACGAGAATTGATTTGTGAATGCATACATTTTGTAAAGGTGTTGTCAAACTCCGAAGACGTGACATCTTTAGTAGTGAGGTCGACGTGGTCTGCTACACCAGTTCTCAAACTGTGAGTCTGTTCCTTATTGGAACATTATGTATCACTTTTTGATATTTTTCGCTTATTGGTATATTAGATCTTCATCATGATGGAACAAACACTTAAGTTACTTAAGATCAAACGTCTTTTGTCTCCCACCATCCAGTTAACACTATTCTGGCCCGATAATACAGAAGCCTGGTTCCGGTACGTAGAAGCTGACTTCCACGAGCACGGCGTGACACTCGCACAATTCGCAGTAGTGAAAGCACTACCAAGCGATTCTAGCAGGTATGTCACACAGTATGCTTGCCTTACGAACCTTTAAAAAAGGTCTCAGCTAGATGTGTCCATCAAAGCTAATCAGGTCAGCATCAAATGTCGAAGACTTACAGAACTACATACTTTGAGGATTTAATGACCGCTGCAAAGAAAACAAGTCACGAGACAGTATGGTTTCGGGGACTAGTACATTGCAAACTAGCTGCGAAACCTCTAAGTGTTTTACAAGACAATTTAAACATCAAGCAATAAAGTTCACATGGGAATCGTAGGGTACAGAAACAAATCATCATACGCTAAGCCCTCTTGGAACTTTAAAATACCACACCATTGCATTCAAACTTCCAATTTAGCTCTGCACCATAAGCAAATGTGGAGCTAACTACTTGAAGACTATTTCTTAAAGGTTATTGTACAAACAACTTCGAACACAATTAAAGCAACGAGCTGTGTACGACAAAAACGAGTTGAATATATGAAACACAGGGCTCAACAGAAAGGATTTGATGTCGATCACTGCCTTTCCTTTAACTTTTCAGTGTTTGGTGCCAACATATAGTTATATCAGTAAAATACTTGACATGGATAATACTAGTAGGAAGGACCGTCTTAACACGACCCTCTCATAAGTATAAGATGCAAATAAGGTACATGAAACAAGTTCTTGTTTATTACAGAAAATACATGACTATATATATACATATATTCAAGCGGATGACATAAGAGCTCAGTTGTATAAAACACAAGACCAAATGCACATGAAGCAGGGCTGAACAGCACGTGTATGGTGATGGAAATTGCATGAAAAAATACAGTTCACAAGAGACCAGATATAGAGAATACAACTAACCTGAGAAATCTTTAGAAGTCTTTTCAACGTATGAATCTTTGGACAGTAGCAAGAATATAATTATTACGAAACATATAAACGGAGCCATTTTGGAGTCATCTGTATCAAAATTTTTAATATCGCGTCGGCGCCGATTTCCCCTATAGGCTTGCCCTCGTAGGTAATAAACCCGTCTTTGTGAGTAAGATACCATAAACTTTGTTCTTTCCAGTAGACAAGCAAGCGACTATTGCACTGTGGAGAAACCAATGACTCTTAACCTTGAAATTAACACACTAGCCAAGTATATCGTATTGTAGTTTAAAAAAAGCCGCCGACTAATTCTTAGCGTTAAACGGAATCAGTGGATCAGCCTACTGTAATCGACATAGTGATAATGATCAATCGATTATATGTTTTGTTTCTCGAGGTTTCGTTCTTCATTTTAGATCCAGTTTTGCCATGAAATCGCGCTATTTAAAAATGTTGTCTTAAATTTTATTGTGCCCTAAGTTGTAACGTATGAATTTATACCTACTTAAACTGAACTTTCAGTTAAAGTAACAGAGAAGTCTCAGTTTTCTGTATTCAGTGTTTGTCACTTTCATATCTTCAAAAACACTTTCCAGAGGTCAGGTTTGCTGGGATGAAGACTTTAGGAAAACTATGTCAAAGTTGATCAGAACAGGTCTTGCAAAGAGATGAGTAATTTTTCGTAAGTTAAGTGATTCTTCTAAAAAGGGTTTGAAGGCTAGGTTTCAACACAATCCAATCCACATTATCAGTTTCCGTTTGGAAAGGATCCCGCCAGGCGGGATCGTGGATGTGCACTGCTGAGGAGTCCCACACTGGGATGGAACGGCCGTCCAGTAGTTCTCGGTTTTCCATGGTGGTCTAGCTTCAACTGATTCATGAGTTCAATCAGTGGAATTTCTAAAATCTCCACAAAACCCCTCCTGATTGTTAAAATATTGAGATTTTCATAATGAAACTTTTTTATCACTAGAAGACATTTGTGAGTTTGAAGTTTATATTATAGATTTAATGTAGTTAGATAATTATTGAGCATCCAAAAACAGCTATTTCGTTTTAACATGGATATTTGATTTATTGGTTAGAAAGGTAATGCGATAAGATGGTGGTTGGAGGTAGTCAATAAGAAACCCTGCACCTAGGTTTCGTGCTACTTGAGGGAACTGATTCGCCGTGACGAGTGCCAAGTGGCACGAAACTTAGGTCTAGGGTTTCCTGTTGACTACCTCCAACCATCATCTTATCATAACATAGTGCACACAATGTCGAGTCATTTACAGTAGTTTAAGTTTGGAAAGGACAGGAGGCTTGGTGGCCTGTGTTAGTCCTGAAAATGATGGTCTCTCAGTTGTTCCGCTCTTTCTTTATAAAGAGTCGACAGATAGGGCTTTCATTGAGTGTTAAGGTAATGAGTTTCACTCGCTGATGATTCGATGGGAAAGTTGATAGTCATCTGACAAGTAATTTGTTCTGGGTTTGTGAACGTTGTTGGAGTGTCCTCGTAAATTCTCTGTTCTGGAAGACAAGAAAAATGAGGGCATATCAGGTGCAAATTGATCACTAGGCAATTTGAAAACTGTAATCAAGTCACTTCTAGTTCTTCGCTATGACAGCGAGAAAAGGTTTAGCTTGGCCAGTCGAGCATCATACGGAAGCTTTGCTATTCCGGGAATCAGCTTAGTTGCCGTTCTCTGAACCTTTTCCAGAAGATCACTGTCACTGTAAACAAAGTCGAAAACGTTTTAGCGTCGATATGACTAAAAGCCCTACGTATTGACCATAAGGTTCTAAAACCTTTGGTGGCTATTGCACGTCAGTTTGCAGTAGTCTTTAAGTTTTGGCTAAAGATGACTCCTAAGTCATTATGTGTCTGGATAACAGTTAGCTCAGTGTTATTCATCGTGTATGTATCTGTACCTTGATGACCGATGCGCATCACAATACATTTGGAAGTATTTATCGGCAACTGCCAGGTTTGAGACCATTCAGGTAATCTCTTCAGGTCATTTTGAAGTTCTAAGTTCTCACCCTTATTTCGTATCGCTCTCCATATCTTTGTCTAAGGCTTTGCTGAAGTCAATGTAGGCTACGTCTACAGGTAGCTTTTGGTCCTCAAGAGCGCACCAACTTTCACAATCCACTAATAAGTTAGTGAGGCAGGAATAACATGTTCTAAAACCATGCTGCTTTCCTGAAAAGATCCGGTTTATATCGAGATTCTTAAATAGCTCCTTCAGAATAATTTTTTCTAAGATCTTAACAACCACAATAGTTAGGTTAACCGGTCGGTAATTCTCAGGTTTACGTTTCGTACCTGTTTTGAAGACAGGACTTACTATGGCGTTCTTCCAGCCTTTTGGTAGATGACCCTGGGTTATGGATAGATTGAAGCATATACCTAAAGGGTTCGCAACGAAGCTAGCTAGTTCTTCTAGTAACCTAGGATGCAGTTCATCGGGCCCCGTGGATTCGCCTATGTCAAGTCTATTTAGCAGACCAAAGACATCGAGTTCTTTAATGGTCACAATCTTCAGAGTATGTGTGTGGGGATTTGTACGAACTGACGGGAAGGACATTTCTACTGCATATACATTTCTAAAGTAGTATGAGAATACTTGAGCTTTACCAAAGTCATCCTTCACTAATGATGAAGCAGTACTGTCTCCCCATAGTACTAGAATATTTCCTCTTATTGTCATTTGGTTTATATACGAATACATTCCATTGATTGCTTAACGATTTTCTCTTCGTACAAGATTTTAGACTTACGGAGGGTCGAGTCACAGGTATTCCGAGCTTTTCGACACTGAGATTTCGTCTCATAAATTCCACATCCTCATTCTCTTACGGAGAAGAATGCGAACCCACTACTGAACCATGGTGGAGAGTTTCTCGGGCTCTTTAACGTTGTCCAAGGGATGTAGGGTGCAGTAACTTTTAAGTATAAATTTCAAAATACGTCACAAGCCGTTTCTAATTCAGGACTCTGGCTCTATTTTTCAATCTACTGACGATGCTGAATGTATGATATCTTGTATGTTTGCGTTCTAGACGTTGGGTCTGGATTGAGCTGATGCGCTCTCGTGTTTGAAAATTATATGAAAGTCAGAGGTGAATTTTACATGATCAGTTTTACCTAGGGGTAGCATATAACCGAGGTTCGTAACGTCATCCTCATAATGTGTCAGTGTAAGATCTAGTAAGGATGATTCAGAATCCGGGTCATACCTAGTCGCTTCTTGCACACATTGCACTAGGGCATGGGTGAGAACCTCATCAGCTAGTTCCTGCTCAAAAGAATTATCTGACAATTCAGTCCGCAGATTTTCCCAGTCTACTATGGGTGCAATAAAGTCCCCTAGGATTAGACATCGAACACTTTGTGAACAAGTATTGAGACAACCTAGCAAGATCTTATTTACCTCACAGCTTGAACTGCGACAGACCAAATCAATCGGCAGCTCTTGTCCCTTGCATTTCAAGCGGCAACTAACTAATTCACACGTCCCACTCTTATGAGATACACTGTCGAGAATGGAGATGTGAATACTAATTTATCGATGACTTGGGAAGTCAGTTTGTGTTTTCTGCTAGAAACAGAATGAGCCTTGCGATTGTGACTCCTAGGGTTAGCATTCATAGGCATTTTACGATAGAACCGGAAACGGATTCCGAAAGTACATAGGCAAATGGCCTCTAACAAGTTACTTTTGTTTGGGCTGAGGAAATAAACCATGTTACCAGAAGATACACGCTAAATGACTGGATCTGGAATATATTTCCATGCGAACCTCAGTTCACTCGATCGTAGTAAGAGACAATGCACAGAGGTAGAAACAAATAAACGTAGCCGGGACAACGGAAAAACCTTATATTAAGGATTTTCGTGTCGTAAACGTTCGTAGCGAAACGATCTCAAACAATTATGAGTAGTAGAGGGAAGTATTTCACAAAGTAAAATCATGCTATACAAATGTTCGCAGCCTACTAAGTTGAATAGTGGAGATAAAAGTTGTTTGACGCAGAAAACCCTAGTGTTTCTCCACCTCAGAAACATAGTAGCATCAGAAGTGTATGGTCGCGAAAACTAATTACTTGTGTTACGTGAGAACTGAAGACATTCGTCCGATTAAAACCTTTTTTATTGTATATTAACAATTTTACTGTGTTTTTAGATGTATTTGTTTTACTTACCTTTGGAAGTTGTTTGATTATGTTATTATTTTCGGACATTTCGGTTTGTCTTTGTCATTGGTTTGGTATTTGGGAGTTTTCGCTCCGGGAACCTACAAAATTGAAGGTCTGTTTTATAATTGTTATAATTTTTGCTGTTAGGACGACATATGGGTCGACTATTTGTAAATCGCGAATAAACTTTGGTATCTAATTGGAATTTGGTTCTATTGTTAATTTAGGTTCGTGAATTGCAGATAGATCGACGGCAAAAACTGGGATGTGACAACTTGGTCTATCACTTTTTTGGGTTAACAAACCAAACTGCAAAATTTGAAGATGCCACAAGTATTCGGAGTTCAGCAACTACTTACCAGTAACACTATTTATAACCGAAACGCGCCAAACCAGTGAAATCAGAAGTCAGAAGCACAGAGGTTTGAAGATAGATTAGATAGAATATCAACATATCGAGAAGTGTCTAATCTAAACCTGTTAGCGGTTGTAGGAGAAGAGAAGCACGACGTACTCATTCGTGATGTGGTGCGGATGCATCATGATCGCCTTCATCAGGGTGACTCTATTGAAGCCGATGCGATAAGCATCAAATGATGAAGACTTTCAGAGCTATTTATTTTGGGGTTTATTTACAGCTAACATGTGATGGGGTTTTCCTGTACACGGGAATCACCTTAACTATACCAGCTATCGAAACAGTGGCACACAACACATTGGCATGTTAACGGAAGCGTTCTCAGATGAAATGTAAACGGCAAGATAATGAATTGGACGTATCTCACAGTACAGAATGTGTATTGGGTGGCTTTCTCCTAAATATACTTGAATACTGGGTACACGCGTGTAAAGGCAATATGGTAGGTGATTTTAGTGCCGCCCTAGCCTTATTCCAGTGCACTAGAGATCCCACCAGTTATAACCCACAAAACTTCACATATGTCTTATACTTGGTCTTCACACACTGTGATATCTGTCAAATAAAGTTCCTCT